TTGGCGAATAAGACGTCGTTTTGGCGAATCCTTTTAAAAAATCGATTCCGACATTGCTCGGCTGGACGCCGCCTAGCGCCTAGACGCGATTTTTGCAACACTGCTCTCTTGTAGTAACGTTACATAAGCCTTAATATAAACTTATTTCCGTGAATCATAATTCCATGCCTTTTCTATTGCATTACATTTGTCTTATCTCGTACTGCTATTCGTCGGACATCCCGAGTCAATATAATCCTTCAGGTAACAAAGTATAGAGCATCGAATTATGCAATCCGTGATATTAATTCTATAACTAAAATCTTGTAATATTCTTGTACAAAAGAATATACTAAGCATCAAATATTATAATTCATATTGTTAATTCCATTAGCGTAAAAGTATAGAGCTATAATATTGAAGAAGATAATAATATTTTTTTTTAAGGGGATTATAATATTCTTTATAAATTAATTTAGTGCTCTATAAAAAAAATTTCTATAATATTAAAAAATTAACTATATAAAATTTTTAATTCTATTATAATTATAAAAAATTCTATTATTATTAAATTATCATACTAATAAATAAATATTTTAATATTAAAGAGAATTTATATTATTTTAATTTTGTAATTTTTGAATTTTAAATAGTATATAAAAATTAAATTAAACAAATATATATTATATTAAAATAAAGCCGCAAAATAATGAATTCAATTTTGGTGTATGTGTTCAAAAATGAAGACAATAATATGTATAGCAGGGGAATGAATTCAATATATATATATATATATATATATATATATATATATATATATATATATATATATATATATATATGCTCTATTAAAATATTAAATTAAATAGAAACCATTAATTCTATATAATAAGAATAAATTCAATTATAACAAAATTATCATATTATTAATTAAATATTTTTTATTATAGATACTCTATGTAGAACATCTAAAACATTTAAATTTTAAATTTTTTTAATTGAAATTCAGAAAAAATTAAAATTTAAATTAAACCAGTTTTTAAAATTAGAACAATAACACGCGACAAAGAATTGAATTTTCATGTATGAATAAAAAATGAGGATAATTCCGGTCCGCAATGAATTCACTATATATATATATATATATATATATATATATATATATATATATATATATATATATATATATATAATATTTAAATAAATTAAATAGAATATCTCAATTGTATTAATATATATTTTCCATTTTAAAAGAACTTGTTACCATTAAATAGAATATCTCAATTTATTATGAGTATATATTTTCCATTTTAAAAAAACTTGTTACCATTAAATAGAATATTTCGATTTTATGAATATATATTTTCCATATTAAACGAACTTGTTACCATTAGTTTCAAAAAAAATAACTTGTTAACATTAAACATAATCATTAACCATAATATTTAATATAACTCTTCCAATATGGCAATCAATCACATTAGGTGATTTTGCATTCTCATAATCTTTTTTTCCCTTTTAGTGATAATCGTATTACATAAGGTAATCATACATTATAATATTACCTATATAAACGAACCGAGTGACCACATAATTATCAATAGCGAAGATAAACAAATTTATAAAGAGTTGCATATATTTGTTAGGAATGGCCAAGTTGAGTGTTTTAACCATCCTTCTTGTGGTATTCGTCATCTCATCAGGTTTATTCCTATTATATATTTAAATTATTCTGGCTATATCTTATGTGTATATGAATTTATATATTGCAATTTATTTTTTAGGACTATTTCTTATTAAAAAGACAATGTAAAAATAATGAAATCAAAATATCGAATAGATCTATAATTGTGATAAAAACATGACCAATTTTAATTTGCATTCTTTTCTTTGTATAATTTTTTTTTCATCAGACATTGTTCAAGTAACGAGCGGTCTCAATTGCTGCTTTGACAATAATATTGGACCATGTAACGACGGAGATTGTAACCAACGCTGCTTGCAAAGTAATTGCGGCAAAGGAGGCAAATGCAAAAGCATAAGCTCAAAAGTATATTGTCACTGCTTTTGCTAGCAATCCAAACCTAAACCTCTCAACTTATTATGTTGTTTGGTCTTTATTATCCAATTCAATAAAAATATGAAAATTCATTATACTTGAGCCTATTCAATGGTTTGTGTGTAATCGATAGATTATTGTCGTGATTTTTATAACATTTGAACGATTAAAAATTTAACATGTCATATAGTATTGGAAAGAGTCATGGACATATTTCTAGAGTAATAAACTTAAAGACACACTTCACTAAGTATATGCAAAACTAGACTAGAACGTAAAAATACATTTTGTAGAGATGCTTAAACATAATTAAGAACTCTCTAGAATTGGGTATTTATAAAATATAGATATTTAACAATGCTTTAAATTTGTAAAGTAAACTATATTTTATTGACTAAAAATAATGATAGAGAATTAGGAACCATAAATAATATACCAATCATAATTTGAATATGCAAATAAAAGGTCAACAACTCATAATTCTAATATAGCAATCGTAATATGAATATAGAAATTCTTTCTTCTCTTCGTTTGCCACCATGCTCTAGTGCCGAATCTCCAACATTGGAGCCCTTAGGACTCCACTTCCTCCGTTAGTGTCGTTCCCGTACGACGATGACACGGAGAAAAGCTACTAATTAATGTGATCAAGATCTTGAAAAATAGAAATGCTACGAATTGAGGTTGGTTTGTCATTGAGGATTGGATGAAAGTGAAAGGAAGATGTGAATCGGCAAGGCGGAGAATGCTGAATTCGCGATCCTTCGAGATTTTTGGTATTATTAACTAAAACGACGTTGTTTTGGCGAATAAGACGTCGTTTTGGCGAATCCTTTTAAAAAATCGATTCCGTCATTCCTTGACGCTGCCTTGCGCCTATACGCGATTTTTGCAACAGTGCTCTCTTGTAGTAACGTTACACAAGTCTTAATATAATCTTATTTCCGTGAATCATAATTCCATGTCTTTTCTATTGCATTACATTTATGTTATCTCGTATTGCTATTCGTCGGACATCCCGAGTCAATATAATCCTTCAGGTACCAAAGTATAGAGCAACGAATTATGCAATCCTTGTTATTAATTCTGTAACTAAAATCTTATAATATTCTTGTACAAAAGAATATACTAAGCATCAATTATTATAATTCATATTGTTAATTCCATTAACGTAAAAGTATAGAGCTATAGTATTGAAGAAGATAATAATATTCCTTTTTTTTTTAAGGGGATTATAATATTCTTTATAAATTAATTTAGTGCTCTATAAAAAAAAATGTCTATAATATTAAAAAATTAACTATATAAAATTTTTAATTCTATTAATTATAATAAATTCTATTATTATTAAATTATCATACTAATAAATAAATATTTTAATATTAAAGAGAATTTATATTATTTTAATTTTGTATTTTTTGAATTTTAAATAGAATATACAAATTAAATTAAACAAATATATATTATATTAAAGTAAAGCCGCAAAATAATGAATTCAATTCTTGTGTATGTGTTCAAAAATGAAGACAATAATAAGTTTAACAGGGGAATGAATTCAATATATATATATATATATATATATATATATATATATATATATATATATATATATATATATGCTCTATTAAAATATTAAATTAAATAGAAACCATTAATTCAATATAATAAGAATAAATTCAATTATAACTAAATTATCATATTATTAATTAAATATTTTTTTATTATAGATACTCTGTGTAGAACATCTAAACCAATGAAATTTTTAATTGTTTTTAATTGAAATTCAGAATAAATAAAAATTTAAATTAAACAAATTTTTAAAATTAAAATATTAACACACGACATAGAATTGAATTTTCATGTATGAATTCAAAAATGAGGATAATTCTGGACCACAATGAATTCACTCTATATATATATATATATATATATATATATATATATATATATAAGGAAGGGCTCCCGTGCATTTTCTCCTTCCCGTGTATAATGAGGTTAAATCTGAGCCCCACGTAGCTCTTGATCGAACGAATCAGATTAATAGGAAAAATTAAGCGCGAATTGCTCATTAATGGCATTTTTGTCCTTTTCATTATATTAAAAAAAAATCTGTTATTCTTCTTCTTCGAGCGTTTTCAAAATTCACCATTGATTCCTAATCTCAGACGAATTTTACGATCTCTACGGAATTGGCAATAAGATCTATTCTCTTCGTCGTTCAATATCATATTCGTCAAAATAAACCCCAAACCCGTCAAAAACTTCACCCGAAGAACAATGGAAGAATTCGATCGAGGTATTACCCAAATTCTATCGTTTTTCTGGAATTAATTTTATCTGCATTTGTATTGGCATCATTCTTGTCTTAATTACACGCACATTAAGCATGCAACTTAACCACCAAATTACTGAGCTACTTTAATTAATCCGAACCTAGAGCCTTATGCACGTAGATGATTAGGTAGCCGCATGATAATTTTTAAAAATGCACATATTACTGTTTGCCTCACACATGTTATACGTTGATCAAACGCACATTAATTCCTTTCCAAACGCATGTTATCTTACTGGACTCTCTGACGCACGTTAAGTAATGACATAATATTTTAACAAACACTCACGCATGTTAAATGTTACACATGCGCACATTAATTATTACCCTGAAACACGTTAATTTCTCACTTGCCGCACATACTCTAGTATTTTATAAATCTTCCATATTGACAATTATCTGATTAACTTAACGCATATTAAGTGTTCACATTACGCACGTAGAGGCTTGCAACAACACATTCATAACTTCATGCTTATATGTTACAGTTCCCATTGACATTCAATCTACCAACAACCCCAGTTTGAGTCCCAGCAGCAGCAGCAATGGTCATACATTGACCATATCTCCTGGAATGACACAGTATTGGACTCCTCACTGTGAAGATGAAATCAAACCAGCACAGTAGACATGATTTTTAAAACATTGGATACTGGTATTGAATTCTACAAACATTATGCTTCCAAAGTTGGGTTTGACACGAGGTCTAGTTCCGTCGTTACAGCACGTGACGGGACAAAAATTCAAAAGCAAATCGTTTGCAACAGAGAAGGATTTAAGAATACAGGAGCTCAACATTGTCACTCGCAGTCAAGTGCAGATGCAGGGGAAGGTCCTTCCCGTCCAAAGCGGCGTAGGGTTTCAAACAGAACTGGTTGCAGAGCTAGGATTATGTTTAAGTACATTGGAGCAGCTGGGTACCAAGTTACCAAGTTACCACTTTTATTGAAAAACATAATCACAACATGTCTTCGGTTCTGGCAAGGCAATTTCTAAAGGGAAATAGAAACATCTCCAGTGTTCACCAAAAGTTTATACTCGACTGTGCTAAAGCAAATATTGGAGCATCAAAATCACACGGTTTATACAGTCATATTGTGGGGGATTACTCTGAAGTTGGAGCAACAGTAGTGGACTTTAAAAATGTCAGAAGGGATCTCAGAGCATACATATTGGGAGCTGATGCACAAATACTGGTGCATAATCTTATTAAGAAACAAGAGATGTGCCCTGCATTTGCTTTTGACTACGAGGTTGATGAAGATGAGCAGATGAGCAGACTGTTTTGGGCAGATCCAATGTCAAAAAAGAATTTTGCTGCATTTGGAGATGTTGTCTCTTTTGATGCCACGTACTCAACAAACAGGTATATACTATTCTATTCACATTCTTGCATACGTTTCATTAATTAATACACATTTAGCATTGCCTGATCTGTTGAGACATGTTAAGATTTAGACACGTTTTATTGACGCTTTTTGTCTTGTAGGTACAATGTGGTTTTTACTCCCTTCACCGGAGTTGATAACCATAAAAAATGTATAACATTCGGTGCTGGAATACTGTTGAAAGAAGACATTGAGTCTTATGTTTGGCTCTTTGAAAAATTTAAAAAGGCAATGGGTATGGAACCAAGAATAATTGTCACCGATCAAGATCCAGCTATGAAAGTGGCGATTCCAACAGTTTTCAAGCAAGCCAGGCATCGTTATTGCATGTGGCACATCATGTGTAAAGTTGGGGAAAAGGTGGGTCCTACGCTGAACAAGGATGAAGAATTCAAGAACAAACTGAACTCAATCGTTTGGACGTCATCTTTGGAACCTCCTGATTTTGAGAAGCATTGGAGAGAGCTAATGGAAAAGTACAACTTAGTCGAACACAACTAGTTTAAAACTATGTTTGAGGCTAGAAAGCATTGGATCCCTGCGTATTTTAGAGATGGCTTTATGGGAGGACTACTCAGGACAACTTCTCGTTCCGAAAGTGAGAACTACACGTACAGCCGTTTTACTGGTCCCCAATCAAGCCTAGTTGAATTCATGATGAACTTTGACAGTGCTCTTAAATCACAACGTAACACAAATGCAAAGCTCAACAGTGACAACGAAGGCTACAATCCAGATATGAAGACGCCTCTGGGGATTGAAAAGCACGCTTCAATTGTCTACACCATTACTGTTTTCTATCAAGTTCAGGAAGAAATATGTGCCTCCTGTTTCAAATGTATGGTGTTGAGTGTTAGAGAAAACAGTGGAATGTTGCACTATGATATTATGGATGGAAAGAACAAAAGATTTACTGTGGTGCACAATGTAAATGACCATGAGGCCAAATGCAGTTGCAAGATGTTTGAGATGGTTGGACTGTTGTGTAGACACATATTTGTGGTCTTTAAAGACCTTGAAAGGATCCCTCTGAAGTACGTGGTTAATCGGTGGACTAAGGATGCGTCTTTAAAAGCTACATTTGAAATAGATGGTGTGATTTACGATAAGAATGGACCAAAGGATGAAAAGAAGATGTTGCTGAACAAAGTGTGGTCTGATATACAGTGTTGTATGGATCTGGCAGGTTCAATCATGGAGCAATTGACTGCATTTTCCCAAGTGATTAATGAACAGAAACAGTTGCTACTGTCAGGAAAGGAGAAATTGTCCCCTCAGCACAGCAGGAGGACTGTTATAGAATCATATTGTGGATCAACCAAAATTTCAGAGATCAACATACTTCCACCGAAACATGCAAAGAACAAGGGCAGCGGCAAGCGTATCAAAAGCAGCAAGGAGTTGGCAATGGAAAAAGAAGAGGGCAGGAGGTGCAATTTTTGTGGTGTTAGAGGAGATCACCATGACACCAGGACTTGCCCACTTAACCCCAAAAATAAGGACAAGCAAAAGGGTAAGAAAAAGACATAGCAGACTATTTTTTCAACGCCTTTACAGTCGAGAACGAAAATGGATAGCAAATATGAAACACAACTACTTAGTTAACTCATTTCAGAACGCTTTTTACAGTTGAGATACTTGTTTTTGTTTTTATCACTAATTTGTTTTTACACAATCACTACTACTAGCTTAATGTGCGTGTTATTACTACTTTACCTGCGTGCAGTTAATTCTTAATATGTGTTGATTACACTTTTAACGTGCGTTACATTAAACCTTAATGTGCGTAGTACAGAAACAGAATGTGCGTTGGTTTATGTATAGAAACTTTGGTCCGTGGTAAACATCTTTACATGCGTCGATTAACATTTAACTTCCGCGACATTAAAGCTTAATATGCGTACAAAGGCATTATTTAACACTTTCTTTCTCTAATATGCATTTAATTATTAGTTAATATACGATGCGTTAAAGATAATTCTAATATGCGCGACTAGAAAACTTAAAGTGCGTTTATTTGATTATGAAATAATTTGCAGACAAAATGATACAAGAACAACATGCGTGTAAATATAAATTTAATTAATTTGCATCGAAATAAATGATTTTTTAAAGCCAAAAGTTTAATGTGCGTCATTAAACCAATTAAAGTGCACGAAATATCAATCTAATATGCGATTATTATATATTATTAATAAATCCAAAAGTTTAATGTGCGTCGGGAAACCAATTAAAGTGCGCGAAATAACATTATAAGATGCGTTTATTATATTTTATTAATAAATACAAAAGTTTAATGTGCATCGCGAAACCAATTAAAGTGCGCGGAATATCATTCTAAGATGCGTTTATTATATTTTATTAAAAAAAAAAAAGCAAGTAGAATATGCATTAATGATAACATAATAGACATAAAAGGATAATATATAAATTTTATTAATTAATAAATTGTATGACGAAAATAACAACAAGTAGTCACATAATACGCATAAAAATCTTGATATTTTTGTCAATATTCATCCTTATCACGCAGCCTCCTCATTGATTACATCCTCATTAGCCAAGTTTCCAACAGGAGCGTCAGGCACCTGTTCATCATCAAATCGTGAAAGTTACTAAACTGTAAATACATCAATAAAATTATATAATAAAAAAAAAGGGGAAAAACAACGTAAGTATGCAGTAGATCACCTCTTGATCGAAATCATAATCTTCTCGGTCATAAGCATATGTTGGGAACTCAGCATCGTCTTTTAGTAATACTGCACCAGTTCTCTCACAGAACATCAGCATATACCAGAGACTAGAGGTCTTGTTTCTGTAGGTATTATAGGCCACCTCAAATCTAATGAGTAGATAAGCTTTTCCTTCCACAAATCTGTTGACGCGCCTTTGCGCAAACGGTTGTGGAATGTGCATATGAATAAAAGTCCCCTGAAATTATTTAAAAACAAAAAAAAAAAAAACACAAAAAGCATATGCATCAACAGTATATTTTATAAATATAAAATATTACTCCGTAAGATTTATATTACACTAAACAAAAATAATACCTCTACATCGTGAAGTACACACTCTATAGATCGGATTCTTTCAGAACCTTTAGTTTCTGGCAAACGAACAACTCGTAGCACTCGAACCCTAATTAAATTCTAACGCAGTCCTATGCGGAGTTGGTTTCCAACTACTTCGGTGTGGGGTTCGGCTGCCATTGAAACTCTCTTTACAAGGTAGAGTAGAAAAGCAAAAATGTGTTTGAAGGAGACAGGTTTGAGTCGAGAATAATGGTGGATTTAAATAGCAAATTCTTAAACGAATGCGACTGTTCGTATGTGACAACTTTAAGTCTAGCAGAACGCGACTGTTGATATGAAAATGTTCGATCGAGTATTATTGAACGAAAATGCGTCAATTTATTCACTAATATGCGCACCTTAAACATGTTATTATGCGTATTATTGCTACTTTACCTGCGTAAAGTTAATTCATAATATGCGTTGATTACACTTTTAAAATGCGCTACATTAAGCCTTAATATGCGTAATACAGAAACAGAATGTGCGTTGGTTTATGTATATAAACTTTGGTCCGTGGTAAATGCCAACGTCTTTAAATGCGTCGATTAACATTTAACTTTCGCAACATTAAAGGTTAATATGCGTACAAATGCAATATTTAACACTTTCTTTGTCTAATATGCGTTTAATTATTAGTTAATATAATGTGCGTTAAAGATAAGTATAATATGTGCGACTGCAAAACTTAAAGTGCGTTCGTTGAATTATGAAATAATTTGCACACAAAATGATACATACATAAACGATTGCACATATTTATTTCTTCTAGTACTTTGAAGACATTTCTTCTGGTTCCGGCAGCATCCGACACATCAGCAGCCACCCACAATTGCTCAACTCTCAGCCTTTGGATGTTGTTTGGAAACTAGACGATGAGCTTGAAGAAGAGAATGACGAATGATGCTTCAGGTTTAGAATGTGTTGTTTTTGTATTTAGTTAAAGTCACTGCAAGCTGGAGGGCGATGAAAATGAAAATGCCAGAGAAGATGAAGAATAAATGAAGAGGATTCTTCTCTACTTGCGGAAAAGTGAGAGATAGCCATTTCAATAACCTGATGCTCAGTTGTGTGTTGTTCCTTGTAATAATTTATATATAGGTGAATAACTTGGTCACATGCACTGATTTGAGATTTCAATGTTGCGTGATTTACAGACACATTAGATTTTTCAAGATTTGCTTTAATGGGTGCGTTTTTTAAGGCATTGAATGACCATTCAATGTTATCCGTTTCCCCCACCAACTACAAATGCCTTAAAGTCCTGACATCAAATATCTTTGAATGTTACGTGGATTGGTATAAAAGACTTAATATGCTTTGCTTTGATCTGTTACATGCGTGACCTACAAGAACAACATCCGTGTAAATATAAATTTAATCAATTTGCACCGAAAATAAATGATTTTTTAGAGCCAAAAGTTTAATGGGCGTCGGGAAACCAATTAAAGTGAGCGAAATATCAGTCTAGTATGCGTGTATTATATTTTATTAAACAAAAAACAAGTACGGAGTACTTAATATAATAAAAACTTCAAGTCTTTACGGGGGATTAATCCTGAGCGAAATCATTTTAATCAAACACTTCTACCATTTCGCCAGTGGGCTCATCCGTTATTTTGATTATAATATATTATTAATAACAACAACAGAGGCAGACATGATAGCTTGTTTTTAATATGCGTAAGGCGTAGACGTAATGTGCATTGGTTTATTTATAAAATCTTTGGTCCGTCGTAAACACCAAAGTCTTTAGATGCGTTGATTACCGGCCAAAAATATTTTAAGTCTTTTGGGGGGGATTTGATCCTGGGTGGATTCAATATATTCAAAGACTTCTACCACTTCACCAATCAGCTCATCCGTTTATTTCTTGTATACCAAAATATATGTTGCCTACTTACTAATAACGAATCTAAAAGGAAACAATATGCCTTTATTTAATTCTTAATATGCGTTGATTTACACTTTAAATGTGCACTACACTGCGGCTTATATATGCGTAACACTTAAACATAATGTGCGTTGGTCTATGAATAAAAACGTAATTATTCAGACATTGCGTTGAGAATTAGTCTAGAATGCGCGATTGCAAAAATTAAAGTGCGTTTGTTTGATTATAAAATAATTTGCATTTAAAATGACACATACATGCTTTGAACTTAACATGCGCGACATATCAATTTAAAATGCGTGATATTGGAACACAATGATCGTTGGTTTCTATATTAATAAAAATAATAATTTACAATCTAATACATTAGTATTTGTAAACGTAAATACACATTGAAACAACACCAATGGGATGTCGGTGCATCTTTTCTAGTGCTTTGAAAATATTTCTTTTAGTTCCGGCACCATCCGACATGCTGCCAGCCTGCCACAGGAGCTCGATTTGGACATGAGCAAGGAGTGTGGATGCATGTAGGCTCGTGGCCTCTAAGCTTGCTGTGTATGATAGATTCCTGGCAGCCGTAGGTGTTATTTGGGATGTCGGATGTCCTCAACTCTCTCAGCCTTGAATGATGTTTGGTTGCAGCATGACGAGCTTGCAGCTGAGGATGACGAGTGTTCTTTCAGGTTTAGAATGTGTTGTCTTTGTATTTCTTTACAATCACTACAATCCGGAGGGCGAGGGGGGTGAAGAGGGCATGCAAGATGAGGAATAAAAGGAGATGGTTCTTCTGAACGTGCGGACACGTGAGAGGTGGCCATTTCAAATGAAAACTGATGCTCAGTTGTGTGTTGTTTTTTCCAATTTATAGGTGAATAACTTGGTCCAATGAACTGATTTGAAGATTTCAATGTTGCGTTAATGGGCACGTTTTTTAAGGCATTGAATAACCGTTAAATGTTATCCGTCTCCCCAACTACCAATGCCTTAAAGTTCTGACATCAAATATCTTCGAATATTAAGTGGATTGTTATAAAACACTTAATGTGCTTTGCTTTGCTCTGTTAAATGCGCGGAGGACAAGAACAATATGCGTTCAAATATACGTTTAATTAACTTTTATCGAAAAACGATATTTTTTGAACCCAAAAGTTTAGAGTGCGTCGGGAAACCAATTTAAGAGCGCGAAATATCACTTTAACATGCGTTTATTGTATTTTGTTAAACGAAAAACAAATAAAATATAATAAAAAAAATCAAGCCTTTATGGGGGTTTGATCCTAGGCAAAATCAATTTGATCAAAGACTTTTACCATTTCACCAGTGGGCTCATCCATTAAATTAATTATATTAAACTATTCTTAAAGAGCAATTCTTGAAAATTAAAAACAAAGAAAAAAGCTTGACATGCGCAATACGTACGCTCAATATGCGTAATACTGCAACAAAATTTGCGTTTTGTTATCTACTTAAACTATAGTCCGTGGCAAATAAAAAAAAAAAAACTTAACATGCGCAATACAGTAACATAATGTGCATTAGAAAATACAGTAACATAATGT